AGATTCCTTACCGTTGGTGTTTCTAGAATTCTCTAACCCTTCCTAAATCACATGGAGGTGTAGGATTTAAAAATTTAAATCTAGTAAACCAAGGCCGCCAAAAAAAAGTTGCCTGGAATTTCTAAATGAACAACATAAACTTTGGGCTCAGATATGGAAGTCAAAATACTTTGCCCACCCCGTAGTTAAGATACTTTGACCCCATTACTGGTGGCGGGGCGGGGGATCTTCTCCCCGTCGGGGACGGGTAATCCCCGAATTTTCCCATCTCCAAGGCAATTTTTTAAAAATTATTTATTTTGTGGACAATTTACACATATAATATAGGAATTTGAGGGTATTTTAGGAATTGAATTATAATACTTTGGGGGTACTTCAAAAATGAAATTATGGGATTCTAGGGTTTTAAGAATTTAGGGAAAACTTAGATATATTTTAAATATCAATATTAAACCTAGAGATATTTTACTAATTTTACCTTTGGGTTTAGGACGGGTTTGGGGAATTATATACAAAACCCGTCCCCGCCCCATCCCCATTTAGGGTCGGGGAAAACCTGCCCTATTCGGGGCAGGGCCCCGGTGTTACGGGAGAAATTGCCATCTCTACTTACTCTATAGCTTCTTCGGGTTTTATTTAATGTAATGGAAAGCATTTTGCCCAAAACTTACTGAACTAGCTACTGAATGTGGCGAAAACTCTGCTTTCCCGATTTCCCAAGTCCCTTGGATCCAATCAGTGAGTAAATTTTATTGGGTTTCTTTCCCTTTAGCTCCTCACCTCAGGGACTTAAATATATCCCATCTTCTCCTTTCAAGGCGTTGGAATAGGAATCTCATTCGTTTTTTATTCCCCTTTGTTGAGGCGTCTAAAATTCTGAGAATCCCTATCTTTCCTTCCAACAATGATCTATCTTGGGTTTGGACATATCCCATTTCTAGTAAATATTCGGTTAAAGAAGATTATAAGAATGGGCAACGAATTTTTCTCCCCAATATCTCGTTTGGTTTCAACTTTTGTCTGTAAAAAATTTGGAAGTTGTCTATTCTTCCTCCATTCCAATTATTTTTGTGGAGAATAATTAACAACTTCATTCCAGTAAAAAAGCTCCTTTTGTCTAGAAGATCAGCAAAAACTCTGTATTATATGCAATTCGGAAATAGAATCCTCAAGTCATCTGTTTATTAATTGTCAATTTGCTCAGGCAGTTCTCTTTGGAAATCCGCAGAATCTTCAATTAACAAATATTTTCCAAAACTATTGGGATTCGGGTATCCAAAATTTGTACAACATAATTTCCGATTAGTCTCTTTTTATGCAAGTGTTAGAGTGGATAGCTATGGCATGCTATTACATTTGGTATGCTCGGAATGAAAAGTCTTTTAAAAATAAGCAAATTTTACCTTTAACAATTTTCAACCTGGTTAATCATACTTTCCAACTGTCCATGGGTAGTTTAAATGTTACTGAATCTTTATCGAACCATCTAGTCGAAAATAAATTTTCCCTTGTTATATATCAAACTACTGAGCTCATTGTTTTTACTGATGTAGGGAAAATTTTAGACTCCTTATATAGCTATGATTTTATTATCTTATCAAAAAAATTGCCTGTCTGAAAATCATTGGAGGTCGGACCTCTCAAGTTACTTCTGTTATCCAAGCTGAATTATTTGTCATTATGCAGGTTTTAATGAAACTTCAAAGTTGGAGTTTTTGAAGAAGTTTGTATCTGTTTGGATGCCCAACAAATTATAAGGGCTCTTGAGAAACAAGTGGATATCCCCTGGACTTGCCATTGGCTTTTGTCTACGGCCAAGAACTTAATGTTAAACTGTTGTAAAGTTAATTTCTGCTATGTAAATAGAACTTTTAATAGACCATCCCATGAGGTATCCCAAATAGTTAAATCTCACCTATCATCTTCTTTTGTATTTTCGGATTATCTAGACAGGATATCTAGGGTTGAGGACTTTGTTATGCTTTTTATTCGCTAATATAGTATTTACCTTCCAAAAAAAAATGTACTGGTAGTTTTCCTCCCGTGTAGGCGAAGCATTTTCTTTTTTATTGTTTGTTGGTTTTTAGGTTTCAAATTCTCAACCATTTAAATGTGGGGTTATTTAAAGTACGTTTAGCAATGGTAAAAAAAATATCTTACTATTTGAAAAATTACTTAAAGTATGGTTAAGATTTTTGATAATGGACATTGCGGCTAAATATTAACGGAAAAAAGCAAAATGCCAAATTTAATACTTTTCAAATTTTTAGAACAAAATCCAATTCATAAAAAATTTTAAAAATCATAAGAGAGTCTAAGGTGTGTATACTTTCTCCACCAACTACGGAAAATCCCTAAATAACTTTAACAGTAGGTTTGCATAATTTCTCCACCATCTTTCTGTATTCTTCTTGATTGCTCCAAAGCGCAGCTGCTTGGGTGTGGCTGTGTTTGGTTCTCCAAGCAGACTCTGGAATCAGGATTGATAGCAATCATAGCAGTAACGTTCTCACATCATATGCAGATTACCATTTGTCCAGAAGGGTGTCTAAGCAAATGTTGTCATAGACATCCACATTGGGATGGACGCAACTGATATCGAATTTCACCTTCGGAGGCTTGAATGGATAATCAACCGGAAAGGAAAGGGAGAGCTTGTACTCTGTTCGTTCGAAGACTGTACCGTATGTTGTCTTCCTCCGGAAAAGCAGATATGCCAGGATCTCCGCTTGTCTAAGAACAAAAGAAAGAACTAAGATTGTCAAAGCCAACATAAGAGGACGTTAGAGGTGTTTGGAAGTGAATTTGAATTTGGGTCTGAAAATTATTTTCAGATCTGAAATAATAAGACTTGGGCCAGGCGTTGAACGCGTTCAAATGCGTTTCAAACCTGGTTCAAAGTCCAAAATACCCTTAAAAACATGTTTGCCTTTCTCCTTCTCACCGTTCATCCTCTCCACTTGATGCAGTGGCTGCAAGTGACTCCTCTGGCGAACTAGTGGTGGCGAGTTCCGACTTCTCTCCCTCTCCCTCTATGGTTCCGTAGCTTCTGTTCACTATTTTTCATTTTTGATTGCCACTACAACTCTTGATAGTGGCGGCAAGTGACTTCTCCGACTTTCAGCTTTCGCTCTCTCTCTCTCTCTCCCTCTTCCTCAATATTATTTTGAATTTAATAAATTATTTTTATGAAATAGTACAAGTTGAACTCAAAATTACCGAATAGTCTAATTTAGAGGTAAAATTAGTGAAATTCAAATGCTTATAGTTTGATTCAGTACAAACAACCTTTTTTATTTAGAGCTTCTAAAAAGTCAAAAAACAATTATGTCTCTTTTCAGTTTTTAGACACTTTTAATATCTTTTTAACTTTTCAGATTTCAGATTTATCAAATGCCACCTTAGTTCTTACTGATGAGGGGTGATTTGGCCCTTTGCTGACCTGACGACACATGGCACCCGTCTTCGCCGTTTGATACCTCAACGCCACGCGGATAGACATGTATCTCGCCGAGTCAGGAGAGACACCCCGGATTCAGTCCAGGACACCTCATACATATTAGGCACCTCAACAAGGCAGCTAGCAGCACCTCATTTAGGGCCGACCTGTGGTACCTCATTGTTATCAGTTCAAGGGGCTTTGGCATGAGGAGTAACCTCCTTGAGAACTTGCTGACCTATGGTACCTCATTAGTACCAGTCGAAGTGACCTTGATGTGGGGAGCAGCTTCCCTCGAGAACTTACCGACTTGACTGAGGTCCAGGTGGCAACCTACGAAATGTGTTCGCCAACCTCTTTCGTGGGCGTCCCATCATTCTCGAGTCCTCCGAAATTAGCTCCCTTACTAAATGTTCCGGAGGAAGGCACAAAAGCCTAATATGCATGCAAAACTACTTCCGAAGACTTCGGACCGGTTAGCCACGTCTTCCTGGAGATCTTGGACATAGTGCATGAGCTCATGCCAAACAATAGCTATCAAGAGATAAACACTTTAAATCTGTTGCATTCTAACAATTTTATCTCCATTTAGCTAATTTAAACATCGAAATGACCTCTGATGTAGCACGATCTGGGCACTCCTAGCTGGTTGGAACTTGGCTCCTAGCTGTGACAGACAGCACCTGGGATGAAGAGGAACGTGAAGGGTTCCCGGGGAGCTCTCCCGGCGGGAACACTCCGATGGCTAAGTTAGAATTCTGAGGAAAACTCAAAGAAAACACAGAGAGTTAAGAGTGCTGAAAGTGCTAGATTCAATACCTTTGCTTCGCGGGGGCCGGGGTCCTCTTATACCAGAGCTCAATCACATCAGGCGTAACCGTCACTGCCCTAGCCGTTACTGCCAAGGCTGAGGTGGCAGGTGTAGGCTATTGCTGCAGGGTACGGACTCGTCAGGCGTGCCATGCTTTTCAGAGACGGCAGGCACGACGCCACCTGGCAAGAGATGTGGGCGCTTCCACCAGATCCGACAGGTACGGATGTCAGGCGGATCTTCCCTGCAGGCTGCCGAGCTACTTTGCATCGAACTGCCTGGGACTGGATTGCCTTGCACCGAGGTGCTCGCACTAGAGGCGAGCCTTAAGCAAATACGAACAGGAGTCTTCGACGGTGCTGTCCCAAGGTATTTACCCCTCGGGACACTTAGCCAAAAGCTGGGGTGCTCCCTTCTTAGGAAGGGAGAGCTCGAAGCCCCTTAGGAGGAGCTCGGGTCCCTTTGCACGGAGGGAGCTCGGGGCGCTCCACCCTCAGGCTTGGGGCGAGCTGGGCCTTGTTCCTCGGCGAGTTGTCACACCCGCCGAGTCATTTGGTTGGGCCTCGGCGAGCTTGTTACGCCGAGTTGTGGCCAGGCTATCGTGCTGAATTGTCAGTTATGCCAGGTCATGTCCACGTGTACTCGTGCTACTAGGGTTGGCCGGATCACCCCAAAGATAAAAAAAAAAAAACATGATAGACAGCCCGATGAAGAGAATAAAGAGATTCATTTTATAATGGATCTGGAAAATTTAATGTACCTCTTCAAATAGACTGGGTATCGATGCTCTTGGTCACAGGGACAGACTGCTTCGCCTTCAAGGTCGTGATTGCGGGAGAAATAGCAGGAGCATTGTTGTAGCCCCGAGTTTCGGTAGTCATCTTTTCCGGTTCAGACAAAGAGAAATAGAGATTGAGAAATCAAGGAGTCGGCGATCAATAGGAGAAGAAGAAGAAGACGACAAGAGTCTGGAACTTCTTCTTCCTCGGAAAATGAGTTCTTGACTTAGCTCGACGCAAAAGAGCCCAATTCGGTTTTTTACGTGTGTTTCAGGAGTGCGCCCTGCTTCAGTACCAACTCGATTAGTGCTTGCTTGACTTGGCCCGTCAATTTCATTGCAGAGTAGTTCTACAACGAGAAATTTAACTCGTGACCCTCGATCCCGATGCAGCTTTAACTTGTTAATCAGAGCTGTGAAGTAGGTAGGAGCTTTTGGACTTTGAGCAAAAACTTTTACAGAGGCTGAGGAGACATTAGATTCTAGATTTTAGAGAGATGGCAAGGGACTTCTAATCTCAGTTCATATAATATTTTTTCATCCGCAAAATTGCCCTTGTGTTTTATTTCGAAAATTTAAAGAACAATGAAGGGTAAAATCGACTGCAAAAGGATAATTTTAAAATTAAAAAATTATATAAGTAACATGACACTGCATACGAACGGATTATAACGATGCGCTAACGGTGGAGAGGATTTTGTCTATTGTCGGAAGACTTAAGGGTCTTTTAAGTTAATTTTCAAACCATATGGGTATTTAAGTATTTAACCCTTAAATGTGTTCGGTTTTCTGTTTCTTGTTTTGTTTCCACTCGAGCGGAGCTGTTTGGCCTAATGGCCTTGTCGCAAGGAAGAAGAAGAACAAAAAATATTATAGTACTGCTGTGTTTGAAGCTTTCACCATAGACTGAAGGAGGGCACTTTTCTCCCCAAAACATTGTAACTTGCCTATAAATTCTTCTTCTCGATTCTCGACAACCATAATGCATTCTCCCATGCCCATGGTCGACGGTTTGAAAGGTGGCCTCGGATTAAGCAATCAGAACAAGAAGGTAGTAGCGTGAAAATGCATTGAGATTTTATTCTGCGGAGGTTTTGATGTAAGTAATCAAAGACCCATATACTCAATGAGGTTGCTCTAGATGTAGATTTTTTTCTTATCCTTTTTGCTTTCATCCTGTTATATATCCCTTAACCTCTTTTGTTTTTTTTTTTTTTTTTTTTTTTTTTAACGAATATTGTACATTTTAGTATTGGACCAACTAGTTTATTGGGTAAATGGATATTGGTTTTCTTTTTTTCCCCATTTCAAGATTCATTAGGCGAAACTATGTTCTCATGTGAAACTTAAGTGTTTTAGTTGGGAATTCTAATGGTTCCAGATGTGGAAAGCTGTCAACGCCAAGAACTATCCTACAAATTTCCAGCTTATTCAAATCTTTGACCCGGGGGACAGGCGTTTATTGTCACTGATTCCTAATATATTATGTATCTATTGTCACTAACTCCTAACATATTATGCAATATTTGATACACCATCCACGCATCCTGGTGTAAGTATGCATTGGATAATACTACCTTTTAGCCAGATTCTGTAATCATTCCAGTTTATTACTGTTATTGGAAGATTTCATTTATGTTATCTGGGTTTCTTATCTATAATATGCATATGAAATTTGTACTATCAATCACTTGAGAAAAAACGATTATGTGCACATTTTGTTGATGTATCAACACACTGTTTTATGCTTTGATATTGATATTCTCATGCATATCCATTTGTTTTCTGCATGGATCTGACACTAGTCTGGAATGAATATATTTTAAATTATTGATGAGTACTGGACTTTATGGCTTGAATTCCAAGTCGAGTAACATAGTGGCTTTGGGATGATATGATAACTGATAGCCAATCTAGTTCAGTGGAAATTTTGGGAGGGTTTGGTTTGAGTAGTTTAGAAATTGATTCTAATCCTCTTGTAAATGTCATATAGTTAATTTTTATGATGTGGCACTGAACAGAGTGGAATGACAGAACTGGATTCATGTAGTCATATAGTTGGGACAAGCTTTTGTTGAGTTGAGTTGGGCTCGCCATAAGTGAGAAAATTTTCCTTTAAGAAGAATGACAAATTGCCTGGTTATAGTGTTATTGGCGTCTATGGCATTCTGGATTCTATGGGCTTGGTTCTTTGTGTTTTAGATTTTTGAGCTTTGATAGGGATGCCTTTTCTAAGGGTGGTGGAGAGGTATCATCTATTGTGTTTCATGGGTTACAATAGTGTTTATATTGGGGAAGAGTAGAGTTAATTCTTGGCCCTTGGAGAAGAATTCCTCACTTGGGAAGAATGATGCCTTGGTAAGAAAGTTTGCTTTTGGAAGAGTTCGTTTTTGATATTTTTCAAGTCATTACAATCCTCTGGGCAGACTTTTATTCATAACCTTTGCCTATACACATAGACGTCTTACTGAACTACTAAAAATTCTTGTGTTTGTGCAATTTCTCTTTTTTTTTTCTTTTATTTGTTGCCACCAACCATGAACACATTTCTGTAGAAAAGAGAAAACCCTTCCAGCTAATCTTAGATGAACGAAGGATTAGTGTGCACTGATCCCTAGTCTTTTTTTTTAATTCTGTTAAAGTGTGGAATTTGAAGGCTAAAAGTCTGCATTTTGTTGAATTCCTCTTCATTTTATATTCATAAAAAAGAAAAAACAAAAAGAATTCTGCTTCATTGCAGAAATGATCCCAAACAATAGAATCAGAAATGAACAAAGAAATTCTGCTTCAGTTCCAGTTTCACCCTGATGAAAGGTTTAAAGCAACTTAAAGTAATTGTAGGTAATCAGTTTTTGCTCAAGGATTTGGAAAAAATGTAGCTCCAGTGATGCCTTTTCTTGTTCATGGAGAATTTTTGAAGAGAATCAAGTGTGAAGAAGGAGCAGGAACTGAGATAAAGAGGAGTCTAGTTCAAAAGGGCCAAACAGAGGTAAAGCAAGAGTTTATTAGCCTCTGTTTCATTGTTTCATACCTCATAAGGGGGTGCCTTGTTGCCTAGGTGAGCACCTAGGTGATAAGATTTTTTTTTTTTTTGAATAAAAACCATGAATTCTAGGGTAGTTCCATAGGTTTTGTAGCTAGTAGCAATCATCTTTCACTATTAATTGTCTATAATCTACACAAAAAATGTATTAGCTTCATTTAAAACATAGAGAATCAACATATTCATGAAAAAAAGAAATTTTAGAAAATAGAGGGGCTGAGCCTCTATTTTTGTCATAGGAAAATAAGAAAAGAAAACAAAGGATGAAAGAAGAAGAAGAAAATTAATATGTATTGATTGGACAAAATTTTGAGTTCTTCCATGCTTATTAGTTAATGTTTTGAAGTCTTTGAGGGTTCAAGACAGTATACATCTTGATTAAACCCTAAAAAATAAGAAAAATATTAAAAAGAAACTAATATTTTATCTCAAAATTAATAATTTAGTTTAATAATGTTTGTTTTATTATTATAATCTCAGAAAGTTAAGAATATAAAGTATCCAAGAGCATCATGTAAAAAATATCTTGGAAACAAAGTGAGGTGACCCTCCATGAGTGCCGTATCACCTAGGCATCATTCTACATGTTACGCTTTGTATTACTTTATTGTCATAGTTAGGTAGTATATACTAGAGGTAATCTTTATTTTACATGGTAGCGGGTTGTTCTTGTATAAATTGGTGTAGCAATAGAATATATGCTTTTTTTGGGTTGTTTGGTGTTCATTTTATTGATAACAACATGTTTGTGTTTTATTGGATGCTCACAAGAAATTGTTGTGACTATGTGAACTCATGAAAACCAAATCACCTAGGCATGCACTCACTAGGCAATTTGTTTTTTTTTTTTGCTTGATTGATAGCACGCTTGCATTTCACTGGAGGGTTGCATGAAAGTTGTGGTTGTGTGAATTGTGAATTCATAATTCAACATGTTTGGCTACCTTGGTATTTCTAGGTTGTCATAGTAAGGTAGTTGAAGCTAGAAGCAATTTCTTTTCTTTTTTTTTTTTTTTTATATATGCTAGCGAGTTGTTGGTATGTCATTTGGGGTAGCAACAACAAGATGCATTCATTGGATAATTTGGTTTTTCGTTTAACTAATAGCATGTCTGTGTTTTATTAGAGGATCACAAGTAAGTGTTGTGACCATGTGAACAAATCAAAACCAAATCACCCAGGCAAGCACTCATTGGGTGATTTGGTTTTTCATTTGGTTAATAGCATGTTGTGTTTTATTGGAAGGTCAAAAGAAAGTGTTGTGACCATGCGAACTCATTGCTCCATATGTTAAGCTATCTTTGTATTTCTCGATTGTCGGAGTATGGTAGTGGACCCTAGAGGTATAGTTTTCAAGGTGTAGAGGTGAGGCTGGGTGATGTTTTTTTAATAAAACCCATCTTTCACTATTAATCATTGCCTAGTTGCCTAGGTGATGTTCTTTTTTTGGAATAAAAAACCATGAATCCTTAGGTGATTCCTCAGTTCCATAGGAAGCAACAACCATCTTCCACTATTAATTGTCTATAATCTTCATAAAAAATTTTAAGCTTCATTCAAAACATATAAAATAAACATATTCTTGAAAGAAAATGGAAGAAAGAAAATAATTTCAGAAAATAGAGGGGTTGAGCCTCTATTTTTGTTCTAGGAAAAGAAGAAAAAGAAAGAAAGGGTTGTAGTCCAGCAGAAGAAAAAATAAAATAGAAGAAGAAAAGAGAGAAGGAAGAGAGAAAAAGAAGAGAAGATACATCAGATGGCTTAGCTAAATTTGGTGTGTACTTGGAGCATTTGTATAGCGACAAACTTCCTCCTTTGTAACTTGTAGGGGTTCTTCCTCTACTTTGTACATCTTCTCATGTACCTCTTCTTCCTTTAATGAATCCTGGTTAAATTTTCTCAAAACAAAGTTCTTATTCAAAAAGATGTGGCTGGCGGCACCTAAGTATTTATACTTAGGGCGACAACTTATAACAAATAGAGGAGGAAATGCTAGAAATACCCCTACACATAACATGTTTCAACACTCCCCCTCAAGTTGGAGCATATATGTCAATCATGCCCAACTTGTCACACAACTCATTATGCCGCAAATAGTGAAGACCCTTTGTAAGGACATCGGCTAATTGTTCCTTGGAACTGATGTAAGGGGTACAAACTTCCCCCTTTTCAAGTTTTTCCCTTATGACATGCTTGTCAACTTCAATATGCTTGGTCCTGTCATGAAGAACTGGGTTGGCTGCAATATTAATGGCAACTTTGTTGTCACAATAGAGAGACATTGGACCATCACTAGAGAAGCCCAACACTCCATGTGCCATGCGCCATGGCCCTATACTCGGCCTCAACACTAGATTTGGCCACTACACTTTGCTTTTTGCTCCTCCAAGTGATCAAATTTCCACTAACAAAGGTACAATATCCACTAGTTGATTTTCTATCATCAACTTCTCCAGCTCAATTTGCATTTGTGTAGACCTCCACTTTCATATGGCCATATTTCTAGAATAATAACCTAGCTCTTGGATATTTCTTTAGATATTTGAGCACTCTCTCAATTACCTCTAAATGGGAGGTTGTCGGTGCATGCATAAACAGACTAAGGACACCAACAACATAAGCTATATCTGGCCGAGTCATTGATAGGTAGAGAAGTCTTCCTACCAACCTTTGAAACTTCTTGACATCTGTAACTGGTTCTCCAGTACAATCACCAAGACAATGGTTTTCATCAATAGGGGAATCTATAGGCTTTGCTCCCAACTTTCCTGTGTCTTGTAAGAGATGTAGGATATATTTCCTTTGAGAAATGAAGATGCACTTTTGAGAGCGGGCAACTTCAATACCAAGGAAATAACATTACTGTCCCAGATCTTTCATCTCAAACTGCACAACAAGGGATTTTTAACTCTCTGAATCTCAGTCCCAATTCCCCATAATCACAATGTCATCAACATACACAATTAAGGCCACAACATTCTTTTGGTTCCTTTTGACAAATAAAGTATGGTCAGACTGGCATTACTTGAACCCAATTTGTTGAACCAGGCCCTTGG